TACAAATTTGCCCTTCGAGTTTTGAGAGCGTTTCTGCATAAGTTTGTTCAAATTTAGCTTTCATGTTAGCTCTTAAAGATTCTTCGCTGGTGTTCCGAGCTTGGAGGACTTCTTGTTCCGTCTCAGTAAGCCTTTTATCCTGAAGTTCCAACTGTTGGAATAAGTCTGTTTCGACACGCTCAGCTTCAACTAGATCAAGTTTTAGGATACCCTCAGTGTCTTTAGCCTCTACAAGCTCCTTTTCCAAGTGGGCTATATGAGCTTGATGTAGTTCTAAGGATTGGAGTAAATCAGCCTTATCCTGCACTCTCTTGGCGATACCCAATCTCATCTGGGTTACATAATTTCTCAATTTTTGAAGCTCGAGCTTTGCCGATTTTTGTGAGGCATGCCACTCTTGCAGTTTGAGATCCATTTAAGCCGATACATAAGAAGAAATGACACTGATCTTAAGATTCCTCAGGTGTTCAACTTGTTGTTTCAGCTGGACCAAGTAGGCTTCAATGGAATCAGCCAATTCAGGATATTCATCTTCTCTAATTCCTGCTACATGTCGATCAAGTGACCTCCTAAAGCTGTCGAAGGACGACCCTTTATGAAGAATTCGATCAATCATGAGGTTCAGGAAATAAACAAAACTTTGGATATCTGAACAGATAAACGCCTTATCTGGATCCTCATCGGACGTCAAAGTTTTGATAGACTCAAGTAATGTTGAAGGAGGCACTACAATAAGAGGAAAGGAAATAAGTGCTCGAAAGAATACTTAAGTTAATGTTCGAAACTTAAAATCCAATGAAAGATACCAAGTTCAATAGTAGAGCCTTCAACATGGCTTTCTCGCCCCAAAGATGTCAATCCGGCTTCTTGAGCAACTGAGGTTGACTCAGGAGTAGTAGCCATCAACGTACCCGCTACATCAGTTGGAAGTACGGTCGGGACTTTCGTCAGTATCAGGTCTGAATCTATGAAATTATTAGAGGGAAGGAGTAAAGATTCAGCAAGAAAGAAAAAGATATAATGAGTTTGCTGGAATATTAACCAGAAGTTTAAAACAAACAATTGATAAAACTCACCAACTCTAGATGCAACAGCTGTTGACATACCAACTTCTTCGGTTGGTCTCGTTTTTGTTGCAACAGGACTAATTTGGGGGGTGGTAGTAGCTTCTATCATCATCGGGTCTAAAGGAGTGAGAGGTTGAGATTCAGGAATTGACGATTGAATGTCGACTTCGGTTCATACCGACGACAAGAAGCCATGACCCTCGGATTGATCAAACGTTCCAACAATTATGGCAGTATCGGTTTCAGTAACTGGTCCTATAATTCAAACACTTATATGATTATTCAAAGTTAAATAACAAAGAGATAATGAAAGTTATAGAATAAAAGCCTTTACCTTCAGAGGAACCCGCTTCAGTCGAACCAACCCCAATAGTTGGTCCTGTGGCTGCACCAGGAGTTTTCCCCGACAATAAATCGGAGATATACCGGTGGTCATCCTCTGAGAGATCAAGATTGAGGTTGCGCTCGTTAAAATCCTTGACCTCAGTAGCTTGAGTGGTTTCTCATTTAACTGGTTCATTCATTATGGTATCTACAGAATGTACTGGATCATAAATAATATATATACTTATATGAACTTGTACAAAATGGATATTAGTCTTACCTTCATTGATTGGGATGGATTTGATGGCTCCACTACTTGTACCCGTTTCTTTTAGTTTAACTAAAAGGAGATAAAGTGTACAGGTCATTAGAAGAGGTACGCATTCCGACTCATTCATCTTTGGGAATTGCCCTCCAAATAGAGAAATACTCATACCTATGCTTGGAGCTGATGGATCAACGTCAGAAGTTGTTTGAACACCAGCAGTTTTGTCATTAAGCACGTCATGCATTTGTTGAATGAAGCTGGGTTCCTCAGTTTTCATACCGCCGGGAGAAGCAACGTCAGCCTGAAATTCTCATTCTTCTTGACTCCCTACGAAAATTGAGTGCAAGATAAATTCAAGTATTAAGAAATATGATAATATTGAAATGAAAATAAGGATGAATCGTTACCTTCTTTATTTGAGTGAACACTGTGGGCAGATATTTCCTCTAAAGCAGGACGAGGAATATGTGGTCGAGATGCGATCTTCTTCCTTCTTTTTAGTGGACGCGCTTGATCTCGAATCCCAGATCTTTCATGGTGATGCTTGATACGTAATTCCGTTCTTGGAGGAATTTGAGCTTGAGCTTGAGTTGAGGACTGAGATCTTTGCCTATGAGCGAGAGGCATTGTATCTTCGTCTTCCTCTTCCTCTCCACTAAGAACTTCTACCGTCATCCGATTGGGATATGTCATAACGACCCTCTCTTTTTGTCTTTTCGAAGCGTCTTGTGGTTGAGCTAGATCAGCATGGTGAGCCCTGCGAGCAACGGAAGGATTTACATATCCTCTTTCAAAAAAAGAATCGGGGAGACCGGTCGTTTCTTCTTCATTTTTCTATCCAACCTATTCTTCTGTTCCTTTAGAACTCGATCGAGTCTCATCCGCCTCCTTAGAAGTTTCGGTCTCATCAGTCTCAAACTCTTCTTCACTATCAGCTGGGTGGGCAGGTTCTTTCGCCTTTTTGGAAGACTCAGCGATTCTTTCCCTCTATTTGAAAGCACAGTTTCATGAACTATTTCTGTTGCATGCTGAGAGGCTATTTCTTCCTCTAATTCTGATATTCTCCTCTTTTGAGTGACGGCATTAGCAGCTATCAACTACTTACAGTAAAGAAAGGTCATCTGCAGAGGAGGCGTCTCCAAAGGGAGATCAAACTCAGCATTCGTGCAACCGGCGATGCTCCAAAACCAGGCTCTTGCCCCATCTATAAGTCCACCTCGAACTCCAAGTTGACGGTTCGGGTTGCCGATGTATAGTTGATCATAGCCGAATTGACGGACAAACCGGCATAGGAAATAAGGCTCGATACGACAGACATCCTTTACTCTAAATACCAGATAACCATGTCGAATGTTCATCAGCCATCTGAAGCAGCCGACGTCCAAAACCGTGCGGTTCTGCCTTGGTTCTTCAGTATCCAATAAAGTCATATTGTAAGTCCTGGAGAATTAAGGGAAACAAGGAAAGAACTCCCAATATTTATGGACTTTAAATTGCCTAGATATATCCAGCCACCGATGTTTGACCCACTTACAACCTTCAAGAGTCTGCAGTAGAGGAAGGCTTGGATCCACCGTCACAGGAGCCTGCAACAAATCTGGTCGGTAAAGTACCAACTAGGTCATCAAATAAGTGTATGGTAATTCCAGCTTCGGTATGGATATCCCAGCGGAGGGCTTCTTCCCCTCTTGAGTGAACACGAGAGCCAATTGTCGTAATCCACTATGGATATCAGCTACCATTGTAGGAAGCAAGGACAACCTACGACTTGTGGCTAATTGAGCAGCCGGATATAACACTTCAATCGGTATTGCATCAGAAGGTTGATGGGGGACGACACACTTCTTCAGCTATATGGCCAAAAAGCCAGCTAGTGGAGTGGTTGGGTTGATCTTAACACCAACTTACCACAGATAAGAACGAAACTTGGTCCCGTGAGGAAAGCCGTCTTTTGAACGAGAGGTGTAGGACTGTGCATTTGTTCTCTCCAACAATCGGTTGATCTCATTCGGAGTCAAGGGAGATAGTTCACACACGGCGTCAGAACGACTCTCAAGATTCTTAAACAGATAATCCGCGAATTGCTTCAAGCTGATCTGAGGAGATCTCTTATTAGCTTTAGTCTCCATTTCGGCCATAGCTATATGATAATGACATGTCAGCTCCCATAAAGCATCGTAAGTCACGATCGACCGATCCTTCATCCTGTTTAACTGACTGACCGTTGGGAAGAATTCTTGATATGGAACATCACCCATAGGCAGTCCCGATACCTTCATCATCTCATGTAATGGCAGTCCAAGTTCCCCGTTCTTGGTGAAGAAAGTATTGGTGTCAGGATTATAAATCTCGAACAAAGCAAAAAAATGATCTACACTGATCTGTAGATCATACATACTAGCGATAATGTGACTCCTACCGATCATCCATGTTCTCGAATTTTTTTTCTTCCCCTCAAAACTCAGAAGCAACTGAAATGTGGATAAGTTTGGGAAAGAAATAATATTTTTTATTAATATTTCCTTAATTGGTTAATTCCTAATGATTTTTCATTGCTATCTAAATCCAAATGACAAAAAATGGATGATGAGTAAGTACTTTTTTTACTAGTTAAAAAAAAAATATGTGAAACAAATAAAAGCATTACTTTCATTATCTCCTGCTTCATAATTTTAGGTGTTACATCTTTTGTACTTCTAGCACTTCTAACATCTAACACCTAGAACTTTCTGATAGTAAATACATGCTCTATGACATTGCTAATGACGAGGATGGAGCTTGACTGGCCACAATTATAAAAAGATTTACAAGTCTAATCAAGCTTTGCTCTCATAAAAAAGAGAGGCACTAGGGGCACACCCTCTACCATACTCCCAATCACACCACCTCTCTTGCTACAGTGCACGGAGCCCATATGAGATTTTAAAAATTAAAATCTCATGTGAATCTCGTGTACTGTAGCAAGAGAGATGGTATGATTGAGAGTATGGTAGAGGGTGTGTCCCTATCATTGTTTCATAAAAAATTGCCACGGACGTTGGTACTTATCTACCGGGGGAGCAAATCAAAACGACAGTGGCTTTCACCCCCTTTGTTTGAGTGACACGTACCCCAACTAAACCCAAGCGCAATCCCGAACCCAAACCCAACGCTAGACCCAAAGCTAGCCCAATTAAATTTTGGGCGACCGTCTGACAGTCGCGAGACTTTCGCCTAGATTACGACACGGACGGTTGTGGCTTAGGATTAATATAGCATATCTTCAGTTTTCAACAGAACAGCGGAATAATTATATGCAACAGTTGACCTAGAGAGAAAAAAAAAAATAAACAAATAAGAGAGGAGAAAACAATAATCAGATTACAACATATAAATCTCACTGTTATTATATGAACTTCAAGATCTAGCCCTGCCAATCTGAAATTATAGACAATGCTTTACATGCTTGTGTGCTGGAATCTAAACCAGAAAATAAGTAGGATACAAATATGAAATAGCTCCACAGAAAAATTTATACGCCAAGCAGAGAAGAAAAAAATGTAATAGATTATAATTGTGCTAAAGGAAAACACAGATAGGCCGGCATGATCAAATGGTGTTTCAGACGCAGATGACTTCAGTAATTTAAGCTCAGTGAAACTTGTTTTGTAAAAAAAAAGGCACCAGGCATCTGTCCAACCTACATCAATGGCTTCTTTAGGTTCCAGAGATATCAACTTGGGGAGCAGGAAATAAAATCGAGCTGCTGTCAGCAGAGCAAGTAATAAACATCACTCAGCTGGTAACTGAAGCAACTCCCTGATACCCTCGCAAACCTGAAAATTTTGTTCATATGATTGATAATAAGATACATGACTGGCCATATTATAAGCAATTATGATTACACTGTAGATAACAACGCGAAACCTGCAATGAACCGGCTAAAAGATAATGTAGTTTATACTGGAAACAAATTCATACGAAAATTTTCAATGTTGCTCCCATCTTAGCCTTTGATTTAGCATCCTTTTAACAGATTGATGGGGAGGAATCTGAACTACTTAAACCTCAAGATTCAGAATTCCAAATGGAATTTATTCAATCAGATTTGATTTGGATGAACCATATATAATTACGTAGGCCTAGTCCTAACTGATTGATCCAGAACGATTCCTTGCAAGAATCGGCGGTGGCAGAGGAGCACATCTCTTATATGAGGACATCTCTTCTATGAGGAGGAGAAAAGTAGATTTATTTTGAGTCATCTCAACTGACAATTTCGTGAATAAGAAAGGCAGGGCTTCTTAAATTTAAGGGTGACTTTCATGTAGACGAGAAATGACAGATACCCAAAGATAAAGCAATGCCGAGAACAAGTTATCGATAGTTCTTCTTAGTGGAATTAGCAGGCTCACTGGACTGGAATTTCTTCAAGGAAATACCTGACACAACAGCAGATAACAAGCACACACAAAAAACAAAGCATGGAAACACTGAAATCAACAGAAAGGTAAAACATATTTAAATATCGGGTAGAGTTCCTATTCTATCTCAATATAACATGGAAATTGACATCCACTTTTAGTTAACATGACGATTGATGAATATAAATTTGAAACAGATGTTGATAAATAATTGAAAATAAGGTACACGATATATGGAACTGGTAGGGAATGTTAAAACTATGACCACAATGAGTACCTTGGTTAACAGAGTACACCTATGTCTCATTCAGTTGGATGCCCTACAAATAACAGCTACTATCCATAAAATGATTTGTCTAAAGGCTAATATCAGGTTTTACGTTGATCATGATTTGTTTGAAATTTGAATAACTAATTCAATGTTTTTTAAACTACAATCATTGAGTTGGTCATTTACTCATATTTATTTCCCATTCACCAGCGATCTTTGGGTTGTAACTGCAGAAGCGGACCTCGATAGCATCTGGCATATCAAACCTAACACCAATCTCAATTTAATACTCCGGACATATTGATAATCCGTCTTAATATTTATTTTATTTTATGACATTATAGACCTATAATCATCTTAAACAATCTAGGGTCCATAACTTGGTCAACCTGACCATGTAACATATGCAGTAAAGAGTTCTGTTTATGTTATCAGCTTTCGGTTCCAACAATACAAATAAATTTCAACAAATGTCCGTCTATGAGTTTATTGATTCAACAGGGACCCTTTTCTATCTTTAAAAAAATTATAACATTACAGCTAAACTGCAATATTAGAAGGTTATTGAATGTTGTGGATGAGTAGCACATACAATCAAATGGTTCAAATCCATGTGCTTCAAGGAGGACCTGAAAATGGGACAGTTCTATGGGACTGGTGAGGTGGCTGCTGATGTGTCTCTACACGCTAGCACCACTAATGCTATACTTAATAATAATAGGAGGGTATTTTTGTCACGAAAGGTATTTCTACCTTTTATCAACGGACAATGCACCATTTCCCCCAAATCCATGGCCGTCCTTCAACCGGTTGCCACTGCTGCCACCCATCCTAATGTTGGCCTTCGTCCTTTGCATCATTCATCACCCCCGCACCCTCCCCTCGGCAATCTCTCTCTTTCCAACATCACAGAAGAAGAAGAAAAAATCGCTTCTTTTACGATTTTCAACTTCCAAATCGAATCCAAAACCAACATATTTACTCATTTATAGAAGCTTCAACCATTCATCCGTAACTCCAAACGGAGGCTCTCCATTGAAAGAGCTTGACCCAACTTCAAAGACCTCAACATCAGATATACAATGATTCTGCAACATCTACATCTGTCAAATTTCCACTAAAATCAATAGTTCTCGATAAACAATCGTATTCCAATGGGATATTTCACAAAAAAAATCACTCGAAAATGGATGAGAAGATGGTTGAGTTTCACAGGAGCGGAGAGAGAGGCAATGAATGGAAAGAGAAGGATTATAGGAGAGTAACTGCTCATGCTTTTTATTATTCCTTAACTTCCCTCCTACATATTTGTTCATTTGTCCACCTTGGAACTGAAAAGAGGACAATTAATTCCATGTCATGATTGTCATCTGTCCCATGCTATGGTCCCATGATTTGGGACCAAAAAGAAATATTCCACATAAAATGTTATAATGAAATGGAAGGAAAGCTAGTAGAAATGTAGTATGCTACATACAATAAGTACAGCCCATACCAATTTGATTTGTGCTTTGATATTTGCAATAAGATGTGTGTACTCCTCTATTTGTCTGCCACATATAACAAGCACACTGTTAGAAGCACTTAAGGACATAATTGAATAAAGTGAATAATAAGAGGGGCAAAAGGTAACAATACAAAAAGATACAAGATAAATTTATGATGTATCCCTATCGACCACATCTACACAAGATGAGAGAAGAAGCTCTGTGGATGTTGGGTACTGATGAGAAGCTGTGGATATATTTCATTTCATGTGCCACAGAACACAGGCATGACGTCCATGAATGCCAAAATGGAGGAGAAAATGTTTGAGAGGGAAAGGATTGGGGTTGGAGGGTGGACAGGGTTGGCTGTGGGTAGAAACAGACTGGTTGAGGGTGGACAGGGGCACGGTCATGTAGGTTCCATGCAGTTAAATCATTTGACAATATAATATGAACAAAACACAGCAACAGGAATATACAGTAAGGGTTCTCTCATCAACTTGGCTAGAGGACTTTGCTTAAAAAAAGGCAAGGCAGAAATACATGTAACCTTCACTATATAGTGGGAAAGCCAATTAATTGCCCAAACTAAGTCAATAAATAAAAAACTGAACAACCTCTCAGATTAGTAAGGGGTCCAGTTACCACTAAGATTTCCTCCCAATGAGAGATAAACAGCACAGGTATGACGTTGAAACTCTTTGAACATGGTCAAAAAGATAACTTCAACGTTACTCTTGATGTAGTGTAATATCTGATCCTAAGAATCAAATAGTGAATAGTCATGATCATCATATAGTGGCGACATAATAGAGGTGCCAGCAATTAAAGAAACAAAATGAACTCAAAGGGGGAAAAAAGGAGGAAGCTACAGAAATACCTTGCCAACCTAGCTTCCCTTATAGATATAAATTCCAGTGCCTCTGACCAAGTAAATTCCACATGGAAGCCCAGTCCTACATCCACAAATATGTGCCGTGTATCAGGACTGCATAATACAAGTTAAATGGTACTGAGAAAAGAAAATTATAGCAAAACTTAAAATATATTTTACAACTTTTAGTTATTATATATATCTAAAGGCATAGTGCAATAATAAGCAAAAACCCATTGCTTTTGGAAAAAGACTGCTACAACAATGCAGAAGATGCACTTGTCCTAGTGAAAACACTCATATTGTGTTAAAAGAAAAAGATTAACTTCATAAACTCTGAAAGTCATTTGTTTAAGAAAAAAAATCAAATGACATAAGGGCAATAAAAATGCTGGGAGCTAAGAAATTTATGTTCTTAATATAAGGAGGTGATGACCATTCTCCTTGCTGTGAAGAAGTGGAAGTCATATCTGACTAGAAGTACCTTTGTGATTAAAACTGATTAAAAGAGCATTAGGAACAATTCAAGTGGAATAACAGGAACCAAGATCCTTACTAGCCTCACAGCCCCCCACAATTAAAGGTGTTAACTGCTGGGGAACACATTGGTGCACATTATAGAGAAGAAAATAATATTACATTTCTTCGCGATCCTAAAACAAATCAGACCATGTTCAATGATAATATCAACAAAATAAGCACAAAAGATGAGGAGCTTATCAAGAAGTAGAACATGTGTATAAACCAGGAGAAAACAGAATTCTATTGATCACATCAGCCTAGTAAAGTTCATGCTTCAGTTAAAGTAAAAGCCTAAAAATGACTACTGGCAAAAAAAAGAGCATTTTGTGAATGTCATGCATAAAATAGATGTTCTGAAACTCTGCACTAAATACATATATTGATTTGCCTCATCTCCAATCTCAATGTTTCGAGGACCGTAAGATGATAATTTAGAAGCTCAGTAGCATGTTTCCAAATTTGGTGCAATATAGGTTAAAATCTTCAATAATTTGCTTGGCAGTTGCTGTGTTAGCAAAATGTCAACTTAAGACATGCTCACAAATGCTTGATGTTGTTTCATTTATACTTGAACAGATTGTCAATTATTTGTTCATCTCATTATACATCATCACCAGGATTTTCTCTCCCTGAATTTATCAGATACAATGTTAATCATACTACACAAATGCCTTAGGGTGTGGCTCACAAACTTGATAATGTTGACATTATCTATACTGATTAAACAGATTGTCGATTCATTGTTCATCTGATTATTTATCATCAGCAGGATACCCTCTCCTTCAGCTTCATCAAAGACAATTTTGTTCATATGATATGAAAAATAAGCCATAAGAAGCCTTGATCCGAACAAAATATGAAAAATAAGCTTTCTCAATCTTGATTATCATGCAAAAGCTCCACGTCAAAGAACACATCAAAAATTACAAAAATCTATAGTATCCACCATAACAGCCCACAACTACAGCACTAACTAGGTGCACTAGTTGTAGTCATTTAAGTCTCT